GCTTCCCCTGGTTCTTTAACGTGCCAAGTTGTTTAAGCACCCATACATGGGACCTCGATTAAAAGTGTTATCCGAAAGACTGATTAGTAATTTTAGTTGGTCAGTCCGGGAATCGAACCCACAAGGTCGAGATTACAAGTCTCGCGCTCTAACCGATTGAGCTATGCGGGCTGGCTGCTAACAAATATTCCGGTGCATATTATATGTGTGAATCGTAAAATTCGGTCATATCTAACGCCCGACTGCGGATCGAATACTAAATGATCAAGGAGTACTACATGATAATTTTTGTTTTCGATTTTCGTATTGACCGTGCATTTCATACTATGTTTTTCACGTATTTGCCGTTTCTGATAAAATAAAAAAAAATGCCTTCACGTTTGAAGTGAATATTTAATATGTATTTTGGGGGAAAATATAAAAAGGGAGATAATTTAGCAAAAATATCTGTCAGGATCATCTGTCCTTTACAAATGCATTAGTACTTTTATATGCAATAAGTATTTAAGTTTAAAGTGATTATGTTTGAAATTAGCCGTAACCAAAAGGTTAATCAGAGCGAAAACATCTTAGAGAAATCAGGGGAATAACTATATCTAGGATTATCTGCCCTTTGATATTGCATCATATGATCATAGTAAACAAATAAACCACATTTAAAGTAAATTCGGTAGTGTCTGAGAAAATAAATGAAAATACTTAAACCAAATTCTGAGAGCGACAATACCATAATACCTTTAATCTGTTGTCAATCAGGGTTACAAATGGAAATGGGAAACAAAAGAAAATACTTATCTATTGAGAATTTAGTATCAATTATCCTTTCTAGCCTAAAAATTACATTATATAGCAGCTCAAAACCTCGATATTTAGGTTCATTAAAGAATACAAAGATGGCAATTACAATAAAAATAACTATGAGAATGTTAAAAAGTAATGTAATACTACTTTAATCGTGATTTTAACATGAATTTACATCTTGCGACATTTAACGGTAGTGTTGCGACATTTAACGGTAAGGGTAATTCGTGCGGCATTTAACGTTTACATTGCGACATTTAACGGCAAATAATTTTGCGACATTTAGCGGCGGTTGCGACATTTAGCGGCAATGGTGCGATATTTAGCGGCAAGTACAACATTTAGCGGCGTTGCGACATTTAACGGCGCCACAATCGGCCGTATACACCCACATGACTTGACACATGGGATTTCTATTCATCAAAATACAGACATATTATTTTATTATTTTCAACCATATATTATAGAATTTCTTGACAAAAAAAAATGAAGTACAATTATCTACTAATCTGTTCAAACTTAACAAATTCATATGTTGTTTAAAGTTAAACTACATACCGGTAGTTTGCTTCTTTCATTAGATTTTTTTTGTAACATTAGTCATGATATTTAAACTTCAATCTTAATATTTTAATTTTTAATTATGTACCATTGCCTGGCAACAACATCACATTGCTTCAAACAAGGTGGTTGCCAGTCTAGTTCAACATACAGTACCGCTGTCGAAGCATATTTCTCCTGATAAAACGCATGGCATAGCTTTGTACATCATTTATGCAAGAATAGAACTTTGTATCCCAAAAATATGTACCATAAGAGTTAATAGGCTAAATCGTGTTATCGTATAATTTGATGAAGACCTTAAAAGGCAGATTGCTAGATTGACAATCACTACCATTCTTGAGTAAATGTTTTTTCAAGGTATACGCTCGTATACACTTGTACAAGTTAAATGGGTGATTCATGGAGGATTCTGGAGAGGACATAGTTTGTATTCCTAAACTCCTAGTTCAAATCATATGATTATTTTATTTCTCCATAAAAACGCTAAGCCGTCCTTTCTCACCTTTATGCGTGAAAAGGAGACAAGTGCAGAGCTGAAAACTGCGCATACGCAACGCACACCTTTAATACATTGGTGCTTCCCTTTAAATAAGGTGTGTGATTTTGCGTTGCTTGAAAAATCAAGGTATTTAGTGTTGTTTTATGTTGATTTCTAAATTTTCTGTAAATTATTTTTCAAAATCAAAATTCGACGTGTGTATTTGTTTTCTCAGCTCCATAATAAAATTCAAACTTTTGGACACATGTGGCTGGAAGCAGCGTAAGTTGATGTAAAATGTTTCTTTTTAGACATAAAAGCCGTTTTAACTATCAACTTTGATAAATTTAGATTTGTAATGACTAAATATTGCTCCGGGTATAGTATCATTGTCAAATAGTAAATTCAGCGATGTCTATTCATTCTATTTACCTGGTGCTGCTGGTGTGCGCATGGTGCTACAGCTGGTATGCGCCTTTTCACATCTAAGTAAGTAAGATGGCTACGTGTGTTTTAACGGATTTAAATTTAGGAAAAAAAATCTTTATTATATTGTATGAACACTTGTTTGTTTTAAGAACCTGATTGTGGGATGTATTTCCTTGCATTATTTCGCTAAAATATGTTCGATTTTATCTTGTTAATAAATAACACAGTCAATATTGGTTATAAGAGTATAAAACATATAAAATCAGCATAATAGCTTGTGCACTTCCGCTTTTCGATCCGAGAATCATATTTTCAATCATTTAAGCAGCTAGAGTTAAACATTACACCGTCTGCAATTGGCTATCATAGGCTATCATCAGGCGACATGTGATCACTTATCACTCTTGTCTACATCAATATCTAAAGAGACTGCAGGTTTTAGTTGTATAACATCAATTAATTATAAAATGTACAAACAAAGCAATACGACACTTGCATTCAGACCGTAATTCTATATTATTTGAATCATCATGTTTTCCTTCAAAACATGTCAGTCCAAGTTCATTCCTTGCATTATTTAGAGAGTGTTATTACTGGAATATCTGTAAAAGTTAAAATTGGCGGTATTGACTAATTCAGGTGATTGTTTATGATGTAGACAGGAGGTTCGGCCGTTGATAGCAAGTGCGGAGCATTTAGGAAATTACAATATAAACGTACTTCTGGAATAATGGAATAACTGCGCACATTAAGCATGTAATGTGTTCAGGTGTTACGTGGAAGGGTTGTTTTGTGAAATTATCCCCGCCAGGAAATTCCTCCTTTTTTTAAAAAACTTCTTAGTCTGTAATCCTTTTTTTATCTTCTGTTTTTTTAAACCATTTAGGATGCTGACATCCCACAAATCCTGCTTACCAAAGTTTTTTTCAGTATCATCTCGACCTTACTTCTATGTTTTCATTTTAGCCACAAAAATCTAGAATTTCATTCATTACACACATTTATTAAGTGATCATTTGGAAATCTGTCACCTGGCATCATGGGAGTTCTGTACAAAATGAATCACAAATAGAAAATGTTCTATTCTGTAAATATTACATTTTACTATTAAGTCGACGTAGCCTAGTCGGCAGTTACTTGTATGTGGGATTTATAGACTGAAACCATAGACAAAACAAATAAACTTTGCAAATATCTAAGATATTTATTATATAATATATTTACAAACTGTAATATAACAATGCAACTATAAAATATTATGGTCAGATGGGAAGTGCAATGGTGCATCACACGAGGTACAGGTTAGTAACAATGAGTGATGACATAAGAGGTAAGATGTATAATGTAATAATAGAAGCTACGATCAGGTAACTCACATTGATATAGTTATATGAGCCGCGTCACGACAAAACCAACATAATGGGTTTGCGACCAGCATGGCCTGACCAGCCTGCGCATCCGCGCAGTCTGATCAGGATCCATGTTGTTCGCTATCAGTTTCTCTACTTGTTACAGAGTTGGTAAGCGAACAGTATGGATCCTGATCTATGCTGGTCGCAAATGCACTATGTTGGTTTTGTCGTGACACGGCTCAAATATATTTTATTTGAATATGAATAACGTAGTACTTTAATTTTATAATGAAAAATGTCTTTTAAGTAAATGATTTTGTGCATCAAACCAATAAATCTAAAAAAGAAGTCAGCCCTGTTTAACAAACAAAAAAACTGAATTCAAGATGGCTGCCTCTTTAAATATAAAAAAAGTAATAAAATCTTAATTACTTACGTAAAAAGAAATTAAAAAAAAATTTTTTTTATCAAAAATGTGTAAGTGAATTTAGATCATCTCTTTAGGTTTATTTTAATGTCAAAGTGCCGGAACAAATAGGAAATCTAATTAATTAACTTTAAGATCTTATAGAGGTCTTACGTCTTCAAAAATTACCAGCAGAATTTCAAAAACTCCCGCTTATGAGATGAAATCCAAAAGGGAGTTACAATACACATTCAGGTAGAACTGTATGTAACAACTAATTTGAATGGTCAGCGAATAACAGCCAGTCAGAATTTGCTTAACACCTTAACATAAAATAATGTTTACATAGTTATTCTTAATATAGATTAAGATTCATGGAGAATTCATGAATCAATTTTAACGTTTTCAAATAATGATAATGATAATAACAACTAAGTTAAAAAGAGAATCAAAATACATGTACTACTGAAAACCTAAACGTATTTAATAAACATATAAATGCAACTCGAAACATGAGAAAAAACAACAATTTGTATTTCACAAAGTTAAATGAAAGTTGAAGTATTTCTGCTTTACTGAGATCTTAGGCCATATTCAGTCAATGTAACAGAATGCACCATAAGTTATACAAAGTTACTTCATACAATATCAACATAAAAAACCAGTGAAAATGTCCGTAAAACAACAAATGTTTAATATCATAAATTTTTAAAATAAACTTAAATTTATGTTAATGTTAAAGATATTATTTCTTCAAAAATATATGACAAATGCATTTGTCCTTTGAGTAATATCATGCTGTTGTTGTTTGAATCCAACTTTACAACTTAGCTATATATACATGTATATCCGTTTTGATGTAGGTAGTTATTTTAACGGGTTTATAGGTGTAATTTTTTGTTTAAATTGAATAATGGATAAGATATTGAGCTTGGTATATGTTAAAAGGAATCTCCGGAAAAAAAAATGCTTAATAACTTGTATTTCTATACTGTAAATTTATAGATGACCAAACACTTTTTGCTTGATTGTCGTTATCTGTAACTACATATAAATAACGACATAATTGAGATGATTCTTTCATACACAACGATTTATCCAATTTTTTGTAAGACACATATTCACTTGATTGTACTTGTTTGTATTTTAATGCAGGTATATTGTTAATAACTATACCGTAATTAAATACATCGTCAATCCAAAAGAACGGAGTAATTGCTGCGGATTTGTATAAATAAGGAACGATGTCATTCAGGAACATCACGTATTGTCCATGACAATATGGCATGTGATATTTCAGTCCTCTCAACTGATGCGGTTCAACATAAGCTTTTGCATTTCTGTTTCTAAGAACTGGACTATTTGTACGACGTTCACAATGAACTTGATATTGATCTATCGAAATCTTTGGTATATCGGTTTCAAATATACGGAACATATTTATTACTACGTCGTCGTCTGTTTTTAGAACAAATTTAGCATTTCTACATCGTTCTGTCAACCATTTAAAGCCTAATACAGACTTGTACGACAAGTTTTTATATGAATCTATAAAGGATCCTTGTAGAATATCTTTACTTCGATTAAATTCTGCCTCAATGTGTTCTTGAACGCTTGAATCTTTTGTTAAACCTAGCACAAACAAAACTTTTACTGTCCCGAAGTTCACATAGTAACTTGAATTTCCCCAGGTTTCTCTGACAGCATTTCTTCTTTGAAAATTATTTGTTGAAGACAGAATCATTACAATCAATGACAGGAATCTTTCTTCCGAACAAAAGTTCTTATTTTCTAGATGATATGTTCCATTGACAGTTGGTGTATATTTTGGTGACGTAGGATTTATCAGTTTCATTAATCCGGGCTTCAACTTCACTTCAAAAAGCGTATTATTCATTATACCATAAGAAGTATTTCTCCCAGAAAACCAACAAGTTTTTATTTTAGGCTCCAGTCTTTTATCAAAACGCATTGATTTTTCATCATTACGAAAATGAGGCAGAACAACATATATCTCAACGAGAGAAAGTAACGTGCAAACACTAAATAATATGTATTTCCACGTATTTAATTTTCGAGATGAGTGGCCTGTATTTTGAACCAACATATTTCTTTGCATTATATGGTATATAAATCAGTTTAATGTATGTACAGAAGGATATGTTTTCCATTTATATAGAAGATATCTAGCTGTGCCAAAACAGTCGAATGTAGTCCGTCTTGCATTCTTAGTCTGAAATCAATAGTAAGCACGGCTCGTTTAAGAATATGTAAATTAAATGTATATAATGATATATGTACATGCACAACTTTAAATCCGTCATGAAATATTCCCTTTTAGAAAAACACACAATTTTCTTAGAAACATTTTAAGTAAAATATAATGTACTGTATTTGGATTTGGCTCCTCTTAAATCTTAACTTTTACACCAAATGATTGTATGTCAATGAGCATGTCAAACACGGAAAACTAACATATGCTTCAAATAACTGTTTTAATGGAATCGCTTTTAGGAAAATGATTTAACAGCTGCAAATATGTAACTTAAACTTTATCATACCGAATGTCAGACAAAAAATCGTAGGGAAGAAACAATATTTTTAGTAACATTTTATAACAAGAGCTGTTACGAAAGCATCGCATTCTACTTTTCTTAAAAGTAAAGTACAAAAGGGGTACAATTTTGCAAAACTGCTTTGCAGACTTACATGTCCTTGACTTCAATTTTAATGGTTAACATAATATTAATATTTTTGAGAGAGAAGACACATGCATGTTATCTGTAAGATAAACTAGGTCAAACATCGAAGTCAATAAAGGGTCACAATTTTGCAAAACATATTTCTTTAATCATCTTTATTTGTGATATCGCGTCACGCCTTGATAAGAAACTAAGAAACAAATATCCCAAGTTTAATATGAATATCCTTAATAGTTTTTAAGAAGGCAACATTAACCGAAAAGATATCCATGTCAAAAAAGGCATAACTATGCACAGCTTGATTTTAGGATAATGTCCTCCTGTAATATGGCGTCAAATATTGATAATTAAGCAGTTTTCTAAGTTTGAAGTGAATAGCCTTCATAATTTCTGAGAAAATGGACTTAACCCATTATTCATTACAGATTCCAGTGACCTTTGTTCATTTGACCTGAAAATGAATGTGATATGTCAAGGCGCATGTATGTATTTATTTATATTGTAATGGCGACATAAATATTCAAGTTGAAAACCATAAACGAAGACGTCGCCAAAAGGTGGACCGAAAAAGGTTAAACCAATGCCTACTCCGACGCCGCTGAGTGTGTTATTTCAATAGCTCCGTTTCTTGCCCGTAAAAGTGGAGCTTAAAATGTTATATAACCTTGATAAAAAAAACATGCCAACTAAATAAATAATCAGAATTTATAAAAGAATTGACAGAGCAAAGTCTGCAGAACGGCCATCTGTATGATAATAACTTTTTAAAAACAACAGTATCAAAATTCGACCCAAAACAAGATTTCACAATGAATATTTAGTGCAGCGTACCACTCAGTCAAACTAACATTTTGTTCCCAAAGGGTTTGCTCTGCAGAAGTTGTATTGTTTGTACAGTTTGTAAGAACATAGCCTGTACAATACAGGTATACATTCAGACGTTCAAAAAGCTGAGGAAATTAAACTTTTCTAGCTGCAATGGACTAATATGATTACTGAAACTATGAACGAGCTAAAATGTGTGCCGTATTGTACAGAGCAATGCTAAATTAACTATATATTACATAAAAATATATTCTAAAAGCATGCATGACAGCTTGAGATACAATTTGGATACTTTTGTTTTAAACAGCTTTTATCCATGACGATACATGGGTATTGAGGTATTGCAAACAATTTATACAACTCGTATCAAAGCTATTTGATGTGACTTAGTGTATTCTCTAAGTCACAGTACGTACGTATCAATCATTTGCAATCGATGTGATAGATTTAAAAAGTTGTAAAATAAATAGATTACGTACCATTCAATGGATAGCAAAATAAATTCCTAAAATGATGACTGGAAGCATTCGATGCTTTTGTGTCAGAAAATCCTTCAACGTGCATTTAACTTACAAGTTATAAATATGTTAGCCTCATGTCAGTAAAGGCATTTTATTGCTGGTGATCGGTTTGGAAATTATTAGATCAATAACAATTTCTCTGCGTTTAATGCTCACATGATAGAAAAAAATACAAGCTAGGTTAAGTATTCGTTAATTATGAGGGGCAACCAAAGAATTACAGGAAAGTAACTATTACAGCAGGTAGTGAAAACCCGCATGTAATGTGATATTCTAACATTTTAAGGATAACAGACCCTTATTGGAATTTATATTAATAAACTTTTCCTAACATTTTCGTATACTTTTAAGAAATTATAAAACATTTATTATAAATGTATGCTGGTATAAAAAGCCATCTTTTTTCGCAATGTCACATCTGTCCCTTAATTCCTGAAAAAAGATTAATTGCATTCAAATATGGGAATGGGATAAAGAATTTTGAAAAGATAGCTTCTTTTTAATATATCGTCAATACAATTTCATCCACTGTAGCAACGCCCTGTATATGTCAACTGTACCCAAAGATTAGATATATCATGGCAGTCCTTGCCAATTGTAGCTACTTTAACCATTCGCTAAAAAAGGCTACAGTAGTGCTAGAGGGTTTATATTAGACTTTATTTTGAGAAAAAGGAAAACGGTGGTCGTCTGTCACACATGACTTAGCCACGCCTTAAACTACGGTATGAAATCAGTACTAACGTGTGCAAGGTAGACCATATACTGACCCTTAAGTGTTGTGTCCATTAGAATGGGTTCATAAAATATTTCAAAAGTATTAAAATTGAGGGAGCAAGGAATGAATGAATGGTTGGACGCAGATTTTGATTACCACATTTTAGGATCCAAATAAAAACATGTTGGTACTAAAATTCTCCTTAAACTTTTAAACCGTCCCTTTTAGTAATTAACTTCATACATTCAACTTGTTCTACTTCAAATGAACTTGATTGCATCATGAGGAATCAAAAGAAATAAGTTAATCATGTACAAACGAAACTTTTGAAATATATTGTGTGACATCCATGGGTAGTAGCTATTTACATACATATAGACAAGTTGATTTTTGCATTCAATCGCTAATACATATTCTACTCACCTTTTGCTACGCTCCAATGGCAGCATTCTGTGAACGTCGTCTTTGCATTGTTGATCTGTATTCTCGTCTTTTAGTGTGAATAACTTCTTCAATATTTTGATAGTGCTCTACACATGATTTTAAATGTAACTTTTATTTTAAATCATTTTGACTGAAAAGTAGTCCTTATCATCATTTTTAATGATTTTGCATTAGTTGTGTGTTTAAGAAGAATAAGACCCCCTATATCAAAGATTTTTAGACATGAAACTTGTTTTTCAAATTTTTCACAACCTCATTTTGTTTACTAGTTTAGACTCAGGAGCGTGTGTGTTTGGACTATTGCTAAAGACAACTGCTTGGCAACACGATCTCATGCTCCATATGAGGTGATTTCAGACAGTCTTCGCGGGAATGACAGTGCATTCTTGCACCAATATGGCCTCAACTCCCTGGATGCTTCTAGGTTACACTTTGTGTTCTAATATCCATATACCTCATAGCTCATTTAACATGTGCTCAATTTGATTAAGGTTGGGTGATCGAGCTGGCAAGCTGACACCCAAAACCCTCGATCTGTAGGTAGTCTTGGACCAGCCGTGTCCTGTGGGTACAAAGTTACCGTCATTTAAATGAAATTATCGCCAACTGCCCCTGCATTCAGCCTTATCTGGCTGTATAATGTCTCATCGATGTTCCACTGACCTGTTATGTAATTCTATTTAGCAAAACGAGGTCAGTCCGTTTCCGCTGATGCCTCTCCGCAATATAACTGACCCAACTCAGTAATTGTCGTCTTAAGCAGTATTTCTGCTCCAGGTTTCGTCAGACTCTCGCACGTCTGTCAGTAAAGGCTGGGCAAAATCTAAACTCATCAGATATGTCTCCAGTTTTATCTGGTCTACCCATCAAGGTACCTCGCCAATTCCAAACCGACTTGACGGTGACGATGAAAGTCAATAGAATCTTATACAGTGTATTTTTGATCTCAGATAAACTTCGTGCATCTGTAACGCATCGTCTGAGCTAAGAAGCATTTAGATGGTTATTTTAAAGATGCGACGATATAACAAAGCGTCCTCGATCGACCTGGATAATCAAAAATCGATCTTGAACCGCTGATGTCACCCTTTTTCTTCCTCTGCCATGCCTCGGCCTTATAGTGAGAAACGTTTGGTTGAGTTATATATAATTCATATAGATGGTTAAAAATGAATTGGTGTCACTGGAGCGTGACATTCTTTTTTTTTTTTGCTGTATCGATTAATAGCACACGACGGGCGAAAATAACCTTGAACTGTACTGTCCTAGGATGATAATTTGGTCTTAACGGTACATGGGAAAGTCCATTAAAAGGGTAAGTCGACATATTATCCGATATTGGAAGTGTCAACAACTTTATATAGTTTAATTCTAAGTAGAATGTGTACCATCGCAATGGCTCAGGTGGTAAATCAACGTCACTGTATCTTTTAATGATTCTAACTCATAGGTTCGAAGCCTACGCACTTCCATGTTATAATGCTGTTGTTGTTATTGTGTTTCTCCTTTTTTAATTAACTTTATCTTTTGTTTGAATATTTATATTTTTTAAATTTCTATTTCATTTCCTTTCTTTTTTGTTACTTTTTTTATTTCATTTTAAAAATCGAATTATTTTAACAAAGTGCGATTACGAAATAATAATAATATACATGGATCAATGTAAACACACTTTATTTCATTATATTTATTACATTTTTAATAATGCGCTTTCCTGACGTTTGACATTATCCTCAAACTTTTTACACAAGTGCATGCCAACCTGTTTACAAAAATATTCTATCCCACACATTCGAAACTATTTGAAAATAAGAAAAAGATATATAAAAACTCTCAGATGTCATTATACCTATGATTCGAACATGTAAAATCATGAATACAACACAGACATGGACGCTCTGCCTACTGTGCTATCAAGACACATGAAAATGCCTCGTTTAACTTTGTGTTTTATTCATAAGGATTCAATCTGCCTAACCTATTTTTTGCATTGTTATTAATCTTTGCCATGT